TCTCCATTCTATTGAATTTACACTGTCCAGAGGCGAAGCAGACCAAGGTTTGCTATGCAGGGCTCTTCACACCATCCCCGTTTCTGAAGTTTGTTTAGTGAACGTTTAACTTCATATTTTGCCATAACAGTCTTACAAAGAATTCAGTGTAGTGACCGATTCACACCTTGAAATGTCACAGTAACTCTTCTTCAGCTTTGCACCACTTGGGGCTCTATCTAAAAAATAAAGCCCCCAAAGCAGTGCTTGGCTTGAGCCTGATTTGCTTCCATGCTAAGCATGGAGATTCACAATGTGCCCTGCTGTGCTATCACAGACAACTCAACAGACATAAGGCAGCTTGCATTAAGCATCTGTACATTAGAAATGAGTAATTAAAGACAAGCCAGCTCATAGGGTAATGGCTGCACATCTCTGGCATGGAAAAAGCACCAAATCTTGCCCAACACACTTGTTCAGTCACTGACAACAGGCCATTGTTTTTTCTAAGTGTGTTGTTGACCACCAGAGGAGATATTTAAAGCACAAGTGATTTGCAAAGTATGGTACCATATATTCAGTTCATTCTTGAATCATAGATTGGCCTGGGTTGAAAAGGACCGCAATGATCATCAGTTCCAACCCCCTGCTGTGTGCAGGTCGCCAACCAGCAGCCCAGGCTGCCCAGAGCCACATCCAGCCTGGCCTTGAATGCCTGCAGGGATGGGGCATCCACAGCCTCCTTGGGCAACCTGTTCCAGTGCCTCACCATGTTTGTTTCAGATCTAAGTCAAGAAGTGCCTGTTGGTCCTCCAGAGCTGCATGCTGAAGCACAAAGCAGGACATGGAACTCCTTCCCTTGAAATATCACTGAAAGGAGGTTTTGTGGCCAGCAAATGCAAAGTCCTTTGGAGACTTTGAGGGCTGGCTGGTCGCTGCCTTTCTTTATCAAAGGGACTGACTGAAACCTCATTCTTTGTAGCAGTGTGTTGGCACTGGATGCTGAGGGAATATAAGAAGTTGGTGATTGAGGGTCCCACTGAGGGATGCTGCAGTGCTCCTCTCTAAACAAAGAGCTATTTCAGCAGTGCAAGATGACACTTTGCTTCCTGCCACTGAAAAGGAACTTTCATTGCAAAAACTACCTGAGCTCGATGTCGTGAGATTACTGCCTTGTACTCGGTGTACCAGAAAAGAAACCCAACAGAACTAGGAAGGATGCATCCTTGCCCAAGTTGCAGCAAATAGCTCCAGGAGCCCAGAGCTGGTAGCAGGAAATGTGTGGGAATGCCATCTGGTAAAGCTCCTTAGAAACAGTGTGAAAGTCTTTTTTTTTTCATTCACTTCCTGACAAAGTAGTAATATGTTGCCTCAATATAGGCAAAGGTTGCTGTTGCTATTTATATTAGTAGCTCCTGGAAGCCCTGAGGTGGGAACAGCACTCTTGCTGTGGTTGCTGCTGTGGGTGCATGTAAGAGGAAGGCTTTCACTACGTGGCTTCCCATCTCCATTCTCCCCCTTTACTTTATGACTTAAAAGGATAAGGATTTTATTTATTTCTTCCAAATGGGGAACTGAAACAGATGGGAGAGACTGGAGAAGTTGGATACAAAACAATTTCCAAGGCATGGCTTTCTTGGTGGAGCTGTGCTTTGCCTCCTTTACTCTGAGTGTTGATGGTGAGCTGTATGTACCTTGGTGTGTGTGCTCTGCAGCTCTCCCAGGTGAAAATCAGCATCTTGTTTGGCCTGGGCACTGCTGAGAAGTACTACCTGCTCTGCTATGCTGAAGCAGGGGGAGGGAGATGAAGGGATTGCAATCACCACATAGAAAATTAAAAAATAAGGTTACTGTGAAGATCTTGAACTTGATCTTCGGCATCTGAGTCGTGTCTTTCACTATGAGCTCCCAGCCTTACCTCATTTCCATATTGTTCAATGCTGTTAGAATCTGGCTGGTATCTCTGTTCAGTGTGGTTCTTTGCTTCTAACAGAAGGCTGTATTGCAAGAAGAGGCAAAGTTCCTTATAGCTACTTACTGTTATTAGGTATGTAAAGTTTTCTCCTGTATCATCATCTCATCTGAAGACCTCAAGTCATTTTACAGACCTGATTGTAGCCTCTTGGCAACTCTAAGGCAAGACAGTTATCCCCAGTTCTAGAGACTGCAACAGTCTCTAAATTCCCAATGCTGAGTTTTCCTTGCCAGTCTGTGCCAGCATCAAGGATGGATTTTCCAGTCCCATGCTTTAGTTGCAAGTCAGAGCTTTCTAGGTCCCTTTGCTATCTGTGTGTGGGAGTGTGTGCTCAATTGGTTAGCATTTGTGCCAGGTTCATACTGGAAAAAAGCATGTGGTTGAGTTGGCCCTTCATCTCTGGGAAAGGTAGCATGAATTAAAAAAAAGAACTAAGGCTTAATTAGTAAAAGAGTATGAAAGCAGTAAGGAGGAGGGCTAGGAGTTAGTGGATGCTGCCTGGCTCTAAGGTGGAAGGGGTAGAAGCTTGGAACCCCCCGAAGAAGCAAGCTGGATGATGTGGGCTGGTAGGTTGTGAGGCTGAGACCATTACTTGATGTACAGAGCCTGGTGCCTTTCCCAGGGAGATGCTCAAGTATTGTGAAACTGGGCCATGAGGTGTTAATTGCTAATCTGTAGAAATTAAATTTTAAAGAGCCAGTGTCTGTTTAGCATAGAATGACTCATATCAGAGAGCAACATTTCTTTGTCCTCCTGTGAGTGAAACCTCCAGTAGGGGACTCAGTGACAGATGGGGGTAGAGCTGAGGCTCTGAATGAAGCTTTAACTGCCTTATCACTGATTTTTCTCAGTGTACTCCTCCCAGACAGAGCATTGTGACAAAAAATGCAGAGCTGGGGACACAGAGGCTATCAGAAGCTGTAACTGCCCACCTTTGCAGGATTTTTTCTCTGCTGGTGATCAATCAGTTTGTGATCTCTAGAGAGACCCCAGCCTATGGCAATTCAACTGTAGGCAAGTGTGTCTATGTAACTGCATCTGTTTATTGCACTAACGGGCCAGAATCATGTGGGTGACCAGGGCTTAGGCACTACTGCTGCCTCAAACACTGCATACAAAACCACTTCAGAGCAAGAGAACTAGAAATTCTGAACTGCAAACACGGCGTAACAAGCATGCAGTAATCAAGGGCTGAGATATTTAAAAGCCTCAACCAAAACCTTGGCTGAGCAACAAACCACTCCTGACCTGGCTTTGGTTTGCTTACGTTCTCATGACTCCAGGAAAGCTGTTTGCACACCTACCATGTCCTCAGCTATATCTGAGTTACTGGCAAGTCTTAACCAGGTGACAAAGCCATTGAGCAGTGAATCTTGGCCAGGAAGCCTCAGCAAGAATAAGCTGCTTCCTCTGCTCGTCTGAGCATCGCAGAACATCTGGTTCCCTACACAAAGCTGGGGGCAGGAGGGGGCTGAAGCAGCAAGGTTAGTGCCAAGGAACCATTTTTTTTCCTGAGATGGGATAATTCTGAAGTGGGAGGATTATTTCTGGCAGTAATTGGGAGTGGAGGGAACAAAACCCATGTATTGACACTGCTGGTAGACCTAACTTGCTGGCTTCTTTGCACAAGGCTTTACTGAGCAGCTGGGTTGTGAGAGGCTCCTGCAGCACAAGTGTTAACTGAGGATAATCCCATCCAGTTTAAAGCCCAAAGCAAGCTGTTTGGTTTTCCTTTCCTACCTTCTAGACTGTCTTCATTACCTACTTACACTGGGACCACGACAGATCTGGTATCTCCTAGCCAGCAAAGCAAATCATGCATTCACAGAAAATCCCTGAGGGCCACCAAATCTAATGACAGCCAAATCTTTGGCCTTAGGTGATAAATCTGACATTACACAGGAAATCTGCGATAGAACCTCTTATCTGCATTGTATGTGAGATGCTCTGCCCAGAGAAGAGGTAGGAGATCCTCTCTACTCATCTGTTACACCTGGGAGATACTGGTTTAAAAACAGTGGTAAATTTAGCAGCTCTCCTAAGCTAAGGAAGGGTGTTTTATTCCTATTTTTTTTTTAAACACCAATTAATCTACAGACTAAGTGACTTCCTTAGCACTTAACAGGAAAACCTGTAGCAGAATGAGGAAGGTTTTTTTTTTTCAACTTCCAGTATAAAATATTTTACTGAAGACCTCTTCCAGAGGCACAGGAAAACAGCACACCCAGATTGAGCAGGGACAAGTGAAAAGGCCTTTATTCTTGGCCCATTTCAGTCTTCTGTCCTAGTGTTGCAACTGAACTATTGACCCAACCCCTTAAACCATATCTTAACCAGCCCCGGAGACCTACCTCTGAGTGAACCTGGTCTGAAATACACTCTTACCCTTAAGTGGATCTCTTCAGCACAAGTTTTGGTGCACGTTTTTGTTCTATTCTATTTTGGGGATGTGCAACTGGTGAGGAAATGCTTTCCTCTGCTGGAGCAACAGTGTTCCCGAGCAGTTAAGATTATGATCTGTACTGTCCAGTGGGAAGAAGAAGACAAGATTCTTAATTCTAGAAGACAGGTCAGCATCTGAGGAGGCAGCAACTGTTAAGTCTTTTGCTGTCAGGATGAAACCTGTGCTGGAAAGAGTCAGTCAATTAGGCTGATTTGCAGCAGCCTTACTCCAAATCCTCTTTCACTCAGAGGCTGAGCTCTGCTGAAACATGCCATCCCAAGGAACTTCAGTAGGTTCTCAGACATTTACACATCACAAAATTATTTGCAGGGACAAACCATTGTGGAGCAGCATGGCGCATTCAGTTTAATAGCTTTACAGTCAATGGACATTGACTATAAATGGGGGTCAGCAAAGAGCCTTTCAGCTCTCTGGCCCTGCCCCAGATGTGCTTTTTTCTTGCATTTCACGTTTGCTCAGCCTATTCATAAACGAAGACCAGATTTGCCAAATCAGATCGAGATACGAAGAGCTGAGAAAGGTACCTGTGTGTTAAATGACCACAACCCACACAGCACAACGTTTATGCCAACGCTCACTCACCCTGCTGAGCTGGTCCAGGAGTCTTTGGTTCTGTTCAGAGAGTTCCTGGACAGCCCGTGTCTTCTCACGGTCGGCTTCCCGCAGGTGAACCTGCTGCCTCTCCAGCTCATCCTGCAGCTGCTTCACATCGCTTTCCAGTTCAGACACCCTTCCTTCCCATTCTCCTTCCTTGTTCTCAAACCGCCTCCGCAGCTCGTGCTTCTCTTGTTCCAGGTGCTATAGGTAACAGGGAGGGGGAGAAGAGGTTAGGGAGGGAGGAAAAAAGTGAGAGCTGCCTTCTCCTGTGCTCCTTCATGCTCAGCACCGAGTGCTTCGGTGCAGGAAGGAGAATGGTAGTAGAGCACGGCGGTGCATGGAGGTGGCAGTCCCACCCATGTCAGGGCAGGTCACAGCACTAAGCTTGCTCCTTGTTTCCAGCAGTTGGCCTCTCCTTGGCCTCTCTGCATCAGCACATTGAATTTTTACTGAAAGAACTGCCAAATGAGTAATGCAGGCTGCATGGCAATAGGTGGAAAATATAGGTCAGGCAGGCCAATCGATGGGCAGAGCCCAGCTAATTCCAGAGCAGGAATTATTATTAATTTCAGTGGGCAGTGGCAGAATTCTTTTAAAAGTTGCCTTTATAGTAGAAGTTACACAAATTGTACCTTTAGTGCTGATGAGGAAGCTAGATGAGGCATCTTTCTTGTCATATGGGTCTTATGAACAACAGTTGAATCATCTATCCATTTGCTCCTTCTATTCCTGACCTAATTAGTTGCCTGGTGATTTGATAGTCCACAGTAACTCCATTGTTTGATGCAGTCCCCTCTGGGGTGGCAGTGGAGGCACTGAAGTAGTTTCTCTAGATGTGACATGTGCACATTCCGGGCTGCAAATCTTTCAGAAACGACTCTCAGTTCTGGAAACTGCTCTGCTTAGGACTGGTTGCAAAACAAGGGACAGCGTGAATCTGGTGGAACTTTCAGATGCCTTACAGGCTCAGTTAAATGAGGGCTTGACTGATACAGAGCTGCAAATTAGGTCAAAATAGATTTGTTGTGCCCGTTTGAAAGAATCTCTGCTCCGAAAATCTGAGCTCGGATTTCCCTTGATGCCTGACACCACGTGTGTGCTTGTAGAGCAGTCGCAGGCTGGGATGTGGCCATGTCCTGAGATCAAAAGGGAAACCTGAAGAGCAGGAGCCCTCTCCTTGCTGTTCATTTTCTGTCCCCCACAATAACCTGCTGCTACTCTCTACTGGATTCACAGCCTTTTAGGAACATGTCTCAGCAAAGAACAGAAAGCCACTGGGCCCAGCACTGGCAGCATTTTTCCCAGGTTATCATCCCCCAGTGAGCAATCCCCTATGACGCTTATGTTAGGAAGGGAAAATAAACCTGCTAGGAGGGAAAGAAAATTGCACTGCATCTGTGTGAAGTGGCTTTTTATTGCTTGTTAGGAACACAGGCTGTGAGGTGGCTGTTTCCCCTGGGTGCCTAGTGCTGATGACACACAGCTTGCCTTGCAGGGTCTTTGTCACCTTCCTGGGCAGCAGTGAATGTCAGAGCTCTGCACTTCCCCAGCAGCCTCTGGCCTATGTTATCACTAACATTTCACCCCTCTTGCTCTGCAGAAGATGCTGTATTGTGTCCTTGATCTTATCCCTAAATCTTCTATGCAATCTTCAGCACAATGTAGCAATGCCCTGCTTGTAACCCTCCCAAATCCTTCTGCAAATCCAGGACTTTCTGGAAAACCCTCAGATGCAAGGGGTAAAAACAAAGCCAAGTGTTTTCCTGTGTTGCCAGATGCTGAAGGAATGAGTACCCCTTGCAAATACTCAGCATTACAATCATCATTTTGAATGCACTAAGTGGGAGATCCTAATGCAAGGCCCGTGACAACTAAGGGTGGCTGGAGCAGCCACAATTCCGCTTTCAGCAGCGCACTAAAAACGCTGTATTTCACAGCTCTGCCTCTCTCACTGCTAGGCAACGTTGAGAAAGATCCAGGTCCTTCTCTAAATGGAAGGTGAAACTTCAGCCTGCCGAGGAGCAGCAGTGCAGCTGAAGTTCCTTTGCACACACAGACATCCCACGTGTGATTTAGAAGCCACCAACGAGTCTTGCTGGTCATTCACAAACCACTTCAGTGCCTTGGTGCAAAGGAAAACCCGTGCCACGCACAGTGTCCTGCTCCTGCACTCACAGAACCATTGATCCACCAAGGTTGGAGAAGACCTCCAAGATCATCCAATCTGCCTACCACCAATATAAGCCCACTAAACCATGTCCTTTAGCACCACATCTAAGCATTTCTTCAACACCTCCAGGGACAGAGACCCCTGGGCAGCCCATTCCAGTGCCTGACCGCTCTTTTGGAGAAGATATTTTTCCTAACATTCAGCCTCAAAAAGCTGAGACGAGACAAGCATCTCTGTACCAACAGAACAAGATATGAAATGCCTCAGCCACTTGAGGAGGATAAAACTGGGATCAAAGATCAGTTTATTACAGTTGTATGTTTAGACATGAACTCAAACTCGGAGTTTTAATTGAAATCAGAGGAGGGGCGGGTGGTGGGAACGCTGAGCTTCAGTGCCACACCTGCAAAACCAGAACGTATTTGGCCAGCAGCAGCTGTCTCTGCCCTATGTGTGCACTGCCCCAGGTAACAAAGCTGACCTAGGAACAAGAGATGTTTCTCACCAGTGTGGTGACAACACTGCAAAACCAGTCTTGAGGCAAAGCATCAGAAGAGCAGCACGTTGGCTGCTGGGAAATGGAGAGGTTCCCATAACCAACTTGGGGGGGAAATCTCTCCTCTTGAATGCTGCTCATACATCACTATGGCAGTGCAGCTGTCACCACGGATTTCATTTGAGACTTTGCTTCTGGTCATCAGAGAGCTCTCAGTGTAGGGAAGGAGGTTAAGGGATGTGAGTCCTTCCTTCCCATTCCTCCAAGAGGGAAAGGCTTACTGTGAAATTCACTTCAGTGGCAACAAGAAGAAGCTATCTTTTAATCTAAACAAGGATTGCAATGTTGTAGAATACTGCTGTTCAGGTTTGTGTGGGTCAAGGATCACAGATTCAGATCTGATAAACCCAGCAGACAAAAAATCCCTTAAGCAGAGAACTTCTATCAGATGCATCACCTGAAAAACCAGAACCTGCCATTCAACTGGAAAGTTGGAGCAATAGCAATGGGATGAAAAATGCAAACAATTGGCAGAATTTCTCATCCTTTCCTTCACCTCCTAAATGGATCCATAAAAGTGGAGGTAAACATTTGGGGAATGTTATTTAAGCACTGTAAAGCCTGAGTTTTTTCTCCTCTCCTTTTCACCTTTACATTCTGCAGATAGTTGTGTCTGAGACCCCCAAACTCACAAAGGGGCAGCCCAGGAAGTGCCTCACGTTGTGCATTTCTCTTGGATGATAGGAAAGGTTTTACTCCAACTCATGGGGAATCCACGTCAGCACAATGCCACAGACGTCTGCTCTTGCTTAAAGACCAACCCGAAAACATTCACTCCAGCAAATCGTCACAGTCTGAGAAATTCTGGTCTGACAAACAGTGCTGCTAAGTCACAATTTGGACAAATGTCACCTTCAGTATCGCTTCTAACCGAACAGCAAAGAGAAAGGGAGCAGCTAGGTGAAGTGCTGAGTTTAAACAACAGGGAGGAATTCCTCCTTTTGGGAAGAAAGAGGTCTGAGAACAAAGGCTGTGCAGTAATGTCATGAATCTGACTGTACTCGAGGGGTGTAAACCCGTGAGGAATGAACATGGGAATATGTAGGAATGCACAAAGAATTGGCCTAGGGCCGTTACTTGAAATTTGGGTGTTAACCGAGCATTGTTCAGACTCTCTCCAGGAAGGTGAGAAGCTGTGCAGCAACTAGGAGCTCTGCTGCTCGCTCAGAGAAGGGACATTGCAAGAATATCTCTAAAACGAAGATAGTTGTACACTGTCGTGCGAGAGAGTTGTTCTGAAGGAAGCTGCCTACACGACTCTTATTCTTTGTAATAACTCCATCTCAACCTTAAAAACCAGTGCATAGCTCAACCCACTGGGCCCCCGGCAAACGGCTGTGAGATACCTGTAGGTATTTTTCAGAGCAACCAGCAAGCAGAAACCTATCAGCGGGGCTTATCTCTTGCCACGCTAATGCCTCAGCTGCAACAGCTTCAGCAGAAAGGTTCCAAACGCCCCGTGCCTCGGTATCAATGTAACTTACGAGGCATTTCTGCACGGTGCGCGTCTCCCCGCCCGGCTGGGACGTGGGGTAGAGCGGCAACCTGGGGCCTCCCGAACGAGGCTCGCAGCCCCTCCTCGGGCCCGCACGGCAGCCGGGGAGCGGGGACGGCAGCACCCCAGGCCTAGGAGGGGAGTTTCGACCTTTTTTTCTCTATCGCGGCCGCGCCCGGGTTCATCGGGGAAGGGGAGCGAACCCGGGGCTCCCGGGGAACGCGGCCCCGTGCGGGGGCCCTGCGGAGCGCAGCGGGCCGGCCTCACCTCCAGCTTGTCGGTGAGCTCCTTGTGCATCCTCTCGTACTGGCGGCTCATGTCCTGGTTGCGCTCGAGCAGCGCCTTGCCCAGCCGCGCCGCCAGCACCAGGTCCTTCTCCTTCTGCCGGATCAGCGACAGCAGCTCGGGGTCGCGGGCGGCGGCGGCGGGCGGCGGTTCCGGCGGTTCCCCGGCGGCGGCCAGCAGCGCCAGCTCCTCCTCCAGGGCCAGCTCCAGGGCGGCGGCCCCGGCGGCGGCGGCGG